AATTTACCTTCACCGTCAACTGAGCAGCAGATCAGCTGTGTACTCCCATCCATCCTGTAATCTCCCTGCACAATTCCCGCAATGGAAGAAGCAAAGTTGTCCTTGAAAATGACTTCTCCGGTTCGATCGCTGCGTGCGTCGATCTGCAACGCAGACATTCCCCAGACAGCATTAAAAGTGGGAAAGACCACAGATCAATGTAAAAAAATAAAAATAAAAAAATATACATTTTCTGTAAAACGTCTCAGTCAACCCGAGATGTTAGAAATCCAGAACAACCCCTGGTTCAACAGCCTAATCTTTCTTTTGCTTTCTGTACATTTAGTTCCGTTGCAGTTACTCCACGATCTGCAGCGCACGCACCCTGAAAAGGGGCAAAACAATTTTCAAGAAAACAGCTAAACTAAACATTGCCTCTTCATATCTGCTCTAATACGGTCCACTGTTCTGGTGGCAGCCACTGATATATTCTGCCGCGCCGGTAGAATTCTAAACCAGGCCAGCCATTTAATCTTTAGGAAAGAAGCAGGGACGAAGGTTAAATATACAATCTTCTTTATACTTACCTTCCCGCTGGACCAGCCAGTTATCAATTCGCAGACGCCGTCGGAATTAATGTCAAAGGCACTGATGCACATCGCCTGATTTTTAGACTGGGGAGACAAATGGGAAGCAAGCAGGTCACTTCTTGGTATCATCACCATTACTGGTCCCTTTCGCGCGAAGTGCCTAGGGCAGCCAGCTTCTTCCAATCAATCCTATCAGCAATACAGGGGTCCCCAACCCCCGGTCCGTGGACCGGCACCGGGCCACAGCCTGCCAGAAACTGGGCCGCAAACAAGCAAAGCCCCGAACCGGTCCCTGGTGCCCAAAAGATTGTGGTCTGCTGCGTTAATACTTCTTGGTATTAACCCTAACATTTTCACACATCTAGTGGAGAGATACTGATGCAGGAAACTAATCAAGGTAAGACACTGTCCTGACTCTGGATTCAGTCTTAACTCTAAGCAAGGGTTCCTCTCCTTGTAAGAGTAACTATCCTACACAGTTGCAACAGGAATCAAGGACTTTGAACACTAGGAAAAATATGAAAAGGTGGCTATTATTTTCCCTGAATAGATGAAGTTTTTGCCTCAAAGCGATATATCATACCACCGGAGTTCGATCTTCAACTTGTTTATAGCTACCGGTTACGTATCGGTCAAGAATGCGAAATTCTCAACAAACCAAGTTTAGAATAGCAATAGCACTTAAGACTTATATACCGCTTTACAGCCCTTTCTAAGCAGTTTACAGAATCAGCATATTGCCCCACCTACAGCAGGACTATGGCTAGGGTGATTGAGCCTGAAGGTGGAGGTCAAACATGTTTGGAGTCATCCCATTCCCACAAGAGACCCAGGTCCAGCACACAGACACACCCATGAATTCCAATGACCCTTATCTAGCACTAATTTAGCTTTGACCATTAATTGACCAGATTCTTGTGTATAGGTAGCATTAATAAGCCTTTCTGTAGGAGATGACCAGGCTGAGCCTGAGGTCAAACGCATCATCAGACACAAGAGCTCTCAGTCCAGCCTTCCTTGAATTCCACTGACTCTTATGTACCACCAATTTGTTTTGACTGTTAGCAGTTCAGATTTTTTGTACAATACAACCTATGTATTCGTTTGAACTGCCTGGACTCCTGATTTCCTGCGCTTGACCCTTGCAGTGCCTTGAAATCAGCGTTCAAAAGTGGTCATTTGAACCTGACAGGTCGGCACAACAGACTTAAAACCAAGCCAGCTAAAGAGTGTGGGGCTACATCTGCATGACATGCAACACCTGATTAATGTTAACTTTGAATAAGATGTTGTGACAGATGAACTAAAACATCCTTTCTAGCTCGCACGTTCTAGGTCCCTGCGTTTGTTTCCATCACCCCATCAGAACTGGACAGTGTCCAAACTGAATGGAAGAGGAGGAAGAGGGAGAAGATCATCCATACTGTGGCAAAAAGAAGATGGCAACTATAACCACAGGGTGAAAGTCCTGGATGCACATCAAAAGGCTTAAAAATTCCACGCCTAGTGGCGGCCATCTGGACCTTTTTGACTTCCTCTGCAGACTCCCAGCGAAGTCAAACGTACATTTTTCAGTGCTGGATATTCCAGCTGTTCTGACGTCTCCAATTTGATCATACTAACTTTAATTCTCCAGTAGCGCGCGGCCTGGTTGTAAATGCCCACCGTGCCATTAGCCAGCGCATAGCCGAAGCGAGCGGGGCTCATCGCGGTTAGGGCCGTGACGATCTAGAAAAGGAAGAAAGGAAGGTTTAACAGCTTGTTGTTAAACTAAATAATTAAGCCAACTATTTCTACGGAATAAAACTGCCTTCAGCTAAATCAGAGCAATACTGGCAGTTACAGTATTCGGGCCCATTAAATTAGAGTGGTTTGGCATGATCCCAGTCTCAGTGATATTCACCTTCCCAGTACCCACACCTGCACCGAAGATTTGGCTGGTGCTGTATCCAGCTGTGATGCGGAAGGCTCCGAGAGGTTTTGTTGTGATTTATTTTATTTAACATTTTATTCACTTGACCTCATTCGCAAAACTTTACCAGGGCTCCAGATGTCATGATTTACATCTGTTATGCCCAAAGTTTCCCCCCCAACACACACACTGCCTTCTTCCCTGTTTGTTCTTACTGTCAAAACTCCATGGAAAGAGGGGGATAGGTGGATGGAGAAGTAAGAATATTCCCTAATCGTTTCTGTTAGCACTAAAAGCCCTTAGTGGGGAAGCAGCCGAAGTTTTTCTTCCACATTTCAAATTGGCTTGAAGTTGCCATGCTCAAACCAGGGCAACGGAGAGCAGCTGAGATGGGGCAGCCCAGAAGAGGGGTAATTTCTTCGGGGCAAAGGTAAGCGTAGCCCTCAACCCCCAAAATATTAAACTCTGTTTATTCTCCAACTTCTGGTCGCCAAGATGCTTTCGGTTGCAGATGCTAAGAATTCTGTTTGGCAAGAGTTGGCAGGAGGGGGGGCAGGACCCTGGGATGCTGCAACCGTCATAAATATGAGTCAGTTGCCAATTTTGATCACATGACTATGGGGAGGCTGCAACCGTCGTGTGAAAAACGGTCATAAGTCTTTTTTTACCCCAGTGCCGTTGTAACTTGGAACCGTCACTAAACGAAGCGTTGTAAATTGAGGATTACCTGTATTCTCTTTTGAATGAGCCTTAACAGACTGGAAAAGGCAACATCGCTGCACTCCAATGTATAATAATAATAAAAAAATTACTGCTACCATTATTATCTCTTTCTCCTAAATCTACTGTCCCACGTCTTTCATTTGGTATTGAATGAAATTATTTGATTCAGGTCTGATTTCCATTAACCTGTCAAAAAGGAGCTCAGCTACCAGGGGAAAAAAAAAGAGAACAGCAAAGCAGGCCTAGAGGAAAACTTTTGAATATGCTGAGTGATAAAATGCCGTTTTCATCTATTTGAAGACTGCTGCACGGTCAAAAAGATTCCAAAATGTCAGAACTTCTCCAATCGTTCTGTCTAAACTGAATCCCCACACCAAACTGAATAACCACACAAAGGTAATTTCTCCCCCCCCCTTACCTCAGTCTCAGACATTTCCGCCACAATCTCATCTTCTTTAAAAACCCTAATATCAAAGTCCTCAGATCCAACAATAAGCTAATTTTGGGGGGGGAGAGAGAGAGAAAGAAAGAGAGAGAGAGAAACCATCAAGCATTTAACAGACCACATTTTATTTTCATTAATTTGCTCTTCCAGCTGCCAAAACAGGAGAAACCTTAACGTGATCTGGCTTGTTGATTTCTAGACATCCTGATGATTTGTGGTCGGGAATGATGGCAGCTGAAGCCAAAAAAAATACATTTGAGAGCATCAGCACGGGAAGGCTGCCTAACACAGAGCTTGAATACAACACACTAAAATATATTATAGAAAGTGCTGCAAGTAAGGTCAAGTTATCTCCTGATTAGGTGAACGGTCCGATTTATGATGTAGGCAGGGAGCCAGGAAAAACTGTCTTGGCTGACCCACGATGACTGCTGAAATAGATCCTAGATCAAACTTCAGCTTCAACCACTAAGCTGCACATCCCAAGAGCAAATATAACTCAGGGCAGTGTTTCTCAACCCTGGCAATTTAAAGATCCGTGGGCTTCAAACTCTCAGAATTCCCTAGCCAGCATGCTAGCTGGGGAATTCGCGGAGATCAAGTCCACGCGTCTTGTGGTTGAGAAACACCGACTTAGGGCACGCAAAATACAGATTAAAAAGGACCGACTCCCCTCGCCCAGGGGCACACGAGAGCAGTTCTTCGTCCTTACACGCATGACCCTCCTTCCTTCCAGCAAATTGTCTTGCATTCCTGCTTTGGGAGGAGGCTGGGCTGGGAAAGCCCTTAGGACATGTCATCCCAAATAGCCAGACACGGGACGTACATGAAAGGGAAAGCGGAGAATTGGCTCGGATTCTGAAAAGAAAGGAGGGATGTAACGCACGTGCTGCAACCAACGAAGCTGTGTGCTTGGACTGAACTTACAAGACCTTGTGGGTTCTTTTCCTAATGACTAGCGACTTGGGTATTTTCTTCCATTGAAAACATAAAAGCATTAGTCGAGATATTTTTCAAAAACTCATCTGCTCCAAGATGGGTGCCCGTCTTCAACCCCTAACCGTTCCCTCAGTACAGTAATCCCTCAAATGTCTAAAATACAACAAATGCAATACGAACTATAAGTAGTCCTCAACTTACGGTGTGTTTAGTGACCGTTCAAAGTTCCGACGGCACTGAGAAAGGTAACTTATGACCATTTTGCAGAGTTATGTCTTGTCGCAACAGCCACATAGTCACATGATCAAAATTTAGACGCTTGGCCCTTGACTCCTATGACGATTGCCGTATCCTGGCATCACATGATCACTTTTTGCGACCTTCTGACAAGGAAAGTCAATGGGGGAAGCCAGATTCACTTAACAAAGGTCTTACTTAGCAACAGAAATCTTGGGCTCAATTGTGGGCGTAAGTTGAGGACTACCTGTCGTACAATGGAAGTGTAAATTCATGCACATGCCGCTTGCCAAAAGCCTACCTCTTTTTTCCCGTCACCGTCAAAGTCACAGAAGGCGAGAGCACGAACATTGTCACCAGTGACCTGTAATTGTATTTTTTAAAAAGTATTTCTTAGTTTCAACTTGACAAAAAAAGAAGTAACGTCAGAAAAAAAATTAATGACGCTAGTTATTTGGGCATAAAGCATCAAGATGTGTGGGATCACTGGTGCTCTCCGAGCTTGGGGATTTTCTTCATTACCCAACTAGGTAACATCATCAGTGCTAGTAAGGAGTGGGGTTTGCAGAGAGGAAGAGGAGGAGGAGGGGGGGAGGGGGAGGAGGAAGTAAAAGGACTGTGGGGCCCTTGGTGCTCTCCGAGCTTGGGGGTTTTCTTGCAGACGTTTCATTACCCAACTAGGTAACATCATCAGTGCTAGTAAGGAGTGGGGTTTGCAGAGAGGAGGAGGAGGAGGAGGAGGAGGAGGAAGAGGAGGAGGAAGAGGAGGAGGAGGAGGAAGTAAAAGGATTGTGGGGCCCTTGGTGCTCTCTGAGCTTGGGGGTTTTCTTGCAGACATTTCATTACCCAACTAGGTAACATCATCAGTGCTGGTAGGGAGTGAGGTTTGCTCTCACTTTATATTCTAGTGTCTTTCCCTGACAGTGTTGGTGGGAGTGGTCTTAGAGGTTCTTTGGTTGAGCTCTCAATGCCACCCTCTCCTCGCTATAAACTCCCGCGAGCCTCAGCAAGTTACTTTAGTCTCAACGCTCCACGTGTAATCTTGAAAGGATCGGTGGGCTCCCTTTCTAAAAACTGAAATAATAATATTAATAGCTTTTGTTATGAAGATAAATAAAGCTATAGGCACCCAAAGCACCCTATAATATAGGCACACTCACCGTCCAGAACAGATCTTTTCCTTCATAATTAAAGCCCTGCAGGGAACAGTTTCCGCCAATAATTGCTAAGGGGCAGGAAATGTCTCCCAACGTTCCTACGGCTATAGAATTTGCTCCATCGGGAACCTACGGGAAAACAGCAGAGAAATCAATGAATTCTTCACCTGCAAATAAAGATACCCAGAAAACATGTGAGATAGATTGGAGCATTCAGACGTTTCCCCTCACAATTTCTAGAGCAGAGCACTTGAGAGATTGGTTTTAAAAATAAACATAAGGTGGTGTAGTAAATACATTTGCTACACTGTGTTAGGTTTAGCCAAAATATAACGAGAGTGTATTGGCTACACTAGGAAAGTTGGACCTTCATTTCTACCCTCACCATCTTACAAAACTGGTAAAAAAGTTTGATAATTGCCTATTAACAAGGCTGATGGTAAGGCATTTAATCAGGCCAAAATAAATGCTCAAAGGTATTTTGCCGTTGTCACATGGAGAGGAAATCAACAAGAAGAAAACTATCATTAATGCTTCTTTCATAGAGGGGGCTAGAAAATTACAGTTGTCCCTTTGAAGAGACAATCCTGGATCAAATGCTTAATGGCTCTTTGAGCAAGGCAAAGCCTAAATCACAAAACAGAAAAAAGTCTTCCGGGGACTTACTCCACATTGATCTAAAGTTGTTGTTCACTAATCATGATGCTAAAAGCCAGCTGGTGTGTACTATTAAATTATGTATTGAAAAGACCAAAACAAATTCTAACTTCGCCGATTCCAAGCAAAGTAATTTGGAATGCCTTTTGGGACATATAATATGCATCCTAAAAACTTGGGACCCATATCATTTCACTTTGGATTTTGTCTATGAAGCCTCCACATTTTCTGCGAAGTTTATCAATTTTTTTTCCCTGAATACAAACGGTGTATTCAAACACCATTGACGTGTAATCCTGGGAGGGGGATGAACTTACCCCAGCATAAAACAAATCAGCATTGTTGTGTACGTCGTATGCCAACAAACTGGTCCGTGTGCCCACTAGGAGGGAATCACAGCCAAGATCAGGGTTCAACATCCCTGCAGTCAAACAACTGACAGCTTCATTGATGTTCAGCAAAGAAATATCAGCATCCTGGTTACTTAGCGCTAAGCGGTTTGCATTCGTGTGCTGTCCACGTCCATGAGGATTGTGAATAAAAACCTGTTGATGTTAAACAAAGCATTAGCAGCAATACAAGTTGCTTTCATGGTGAGTTCCACAAGTCACAACAATTCCAAAATAATGTAGACTCCAATGTATTCCTACATGCCAGGTATCCCCAGCTGATAGTGTCTGGGTAGCAATCTGCTTATCCTTGAATGATAGAAGTCCTCTGGAGGAGGATAGTCAGAGGCCATAGGCTTCATCCACTGGGATGAAGGATTCGGTTGCAGGTCAAAGGAGAATTCAGTAGATAACTTCTTTTTGAGGAATGGTGTCCACCTCTATGGGCATCAGCTCCACAGCAGATACAGGACATAGAATACCAGAGTTGGAAGGGATCTTGGAGGTCTTCTAGTTCAACCCCCTGATCAAGCAGGAGACCCTACAACACATCATCTTAGACAAGTGGCTATTCAATCTTTTCTCGAAAACCTCCAGAGATGGAACACCCACAACTTCTGGAGGCAAGCTGATCCACTGATTGATTGTTCTCATTGTCGTAGATGACATATATCATCATTTGTCAATATATATGATCAATATGCAGGTGATATGAGGACCAGGGTCTTCTGCCAGAAACAGGTCAAAATGGAAGGTGCAACCAATCAAAACTTTGCCCCTTTCAAACGTGTGTTGCGTGGAAAAGGGTCAGAAGGTGCCTTGCTCACTGACCCTCTCTCGTCACTGTTAACCATGCCCACAAACCTATTTAATGGGCATAAAACAAAGCAGCCGCCTTGGCCAACATGGACACCTGCCAGAGGTATGGACTTCATTTCCCAGAGTTCTTCAAGCAGCAACGCCCGGGTGAAATTGACTGAAACTGGTTGAAATTGGAAAATGCTAAATACAACCCACATCTTCCATCCATTTTGTAGGGGTGGAGTGGGGTGGGAATGGAATGGAATGGAATGGAATGGAATGGAATGGAATAGAATAGAATAGAATAGAATAGAATAGAATAGAATAGAATAGAATAGAATAGAATAGAATATGGAATGGAATAGAATAGAATAGAATAGAATAGAATAGAATAGAATAGAATAGAATAGAATAGAATATGGAATGGAATAGAATAGAATAGAATAGAATAGAATAGAATATGGAATAGAATAGAATAGAATAGAATAGAATAGAATAGAATAGAATATGGAATGGAATGGAATAGAATAGAATAGAATAGAATAGAATAGAATAGAATATGGAATGGAATAGAATAGAATAGAATAGAATATGGAATGGAATGGAATGGAATGGAATAGAATAGAATAGAATAGAATAGAATAGAATTTTTTATTGGCCAATTGTGATTGGATATTCACAAGGAATTTGTCTCGGGTGCATAAGCTCTCAGTGTAATACAAGCAACAACTGATAAACCATGATCTTCATAATAAAATACAACAATCATGAATCATAAGAAAAAACTCAAGTCACGGGATAAGCAAACAGCCCAAATCATAATAGGATACTAAATAAAGGCAATCAACATAGATCATGAGATACGAACAACAAAGTTACAGTCATAAGAAGCTAAGGAAGCAAGTAATAGGAAAGATGAAAAGATGAGAAGGATAATACCTAGGTAAACAGCCCTACTAGGTAGTTTCACATCCCAGGGCATAAACAGCGTTGTGGGAATTAGTTGTTTAGCAGTGATGGCATG